TCATGTGGTGGAGGCAACCGGTGGAAACTAACGATTTTAAATTGGCTCACACTGGACTAGCCTATCGGGCCCAAGTACATCAATGAACGTACCCCATTGTAGTCGAAATTCTAGTACTACACTATGTTTGTTTTGACTCGCTATGAAAATTTTATGGATTTTCCTATGTTTCGAGGGGTGCATCGATTAGCTTGGGATCGAAGATAGTACCAGAGCTGAGCAAAAAAGTTAGCACGTTTCTTCGGGACCTTCTGGTCTTAGTTACCTCTATGGTGGAAGGGTGTTTGAAGTGTGTTTTTGTGGGTGTTAGCACAAGCTGGCAGAGTGACTTACCCCCTGGCTGGAATGAGTTTTTGGCGTTGTGAGTTGTTGTTTAAATATATGAACAACAAGCAACAAGGCATATGGTATTGCCCAGTCCATTATTCAGCGATAGAAAATCGAATGATATGAGTTTAGATACAAATCATCCAATTTTCAGATGATGATATGTTATTGTCTAACAATCTTAAAACAAAATTCAAATGTCATAAGAAAACCATCTGCTGATTGGATGATTATCTTTAGAATGTATGGAGATGGCGAAAGAGATGTGGCATACGCTCATTTCAACCTAGTCAATGGAAGCTGCAGTTTCAAAACCTGTACATATGACAAATCATTCAAATTTTAGCAGACGATTTCTGACAGTACATTTTTGTGAGATAAGATAGTAGGGTCAATGAAATGCTGCATGCCAGTGTAAACAACTGAATCCAATCATCATCTCTGCTAACATCTCGTTGAAGTGCGGCGATGATAAAGACTCAGAGCCAACATTTCGAAGGGGCGTAATTCCTTTTGTAAACAATGGCTTTAGCCGTCGATATATCGCAAATAAAAGCTCACCCCTCCAAATTAACAATACTAGAAACGACGGCTAAAGTCATTGTTTACAAATGCAATTATGCCCCTTTGAAATAATATTGGCACTCAATAGTACGTACAGACTACAGAGTTATAACATGTTATAGCGCTATCTTGATGGTGGTTTCTGTGTTGCAATTTTTTGACAACTGTTATAACATGTTATAACTCTACAGTCTGGACAGCGTTTAAGTAACAACATTGTATCGTACACGCTAACTGAAAGTCCCCAATTTTTAGAAAAATTTCACCCATTTTTAAGAAAAGTGGCTTACCCATTTACTAAGTATCAGTTACCCATTAAGCTCGCCATTAAGCATCAACAAAGGGTAACAGTTACACATGAAATGGGTAAATTTATTACCTATAAATTAGTTAAGCCACTTTTCTTCAGAATTGATGAATTTTTAAGGCCCAAACGCAATGTGGGCGGAAGCGGAACGGAAACGGAAAGTTTGAAAGTTGTCACAAATGACATCAAGATGCCTAACCGAAGTCGATTTGATTCTAACTAGTTTTCAATCCGACAAGTAGGCTTACTCAGATCGGGCTTTCCGCTGCCGCTGCCGTTCCGCTTCCGCTGTCATTGCGCTTGGGCCTTTACTCATTAATATGTACTTTCATGTTAGCGTGTAGAATGTCCGGCCAATTGACCACTTTGTCAAGCAGTTTTGGCGTGACTTTCTACCAGCGATTTCACAAAACTGGACCAACTTATTTCTATTTTTTTTGAAACGCACAAATGTTGGCTACTTTTCTACATTTCAAAGTTCGAGTGGTAGTAAACGTCATTTTATCTGCTCGAATGAAGTGGTTAATTCTTCGATACACGCATCAATAATAATAATTTTTTAACAAATCTGGGACGGGACTTGACTATCGGGTAGCGATTTCGAACCAATTTTCTGTCAAATCCGAGCTAGTTTCTGATTGGTCGATTTGACAGTAGCAATCGTGGAATAAAAAGGAAAAAGGGATCGCATCAATCTGGGTGGTAGTGATGCCGGAATCAATGTTGACGTAAATGGCGTTGTTAATTGTTTATATTTGCGAAATGAAAGTTGATAAATTGAGTGCACTGCGTGTTTTAAGCGATGGATATTGTTGTTTGTTAATGGTTGTTTTTATTGTGTTGAGCAAAAATGATGCACATGCTGCTAGATCACCGACAAACCGAAATGAATGACCATACAAAGTATCATCAAATTTATGATCAAAGCACAAAACTGACATCTGCTGCCGCGTTCGCGAAAATTGTTTATCCTAGCCACGAACACGCATACAAAATGTATGAGTTGGTTCGTGTCTAATCTATTCCGGGCAAATTATTTTTATCTAGATAGCATATTTCTATGGTTTTGACAGATGGGATCGCTGCACATTTGAATCCACCGTTATGGATTCTCGGTCAAGAGTTAAAGCCCAAGCGCAATGACAGCGGAAGCGAAACGGCAGCGGCAGCGGAAAAGCCCGATCTGAGTAAGCCTACTTGTCGGATTGAAAACTAGTTATAACCAAATCGACTTCGGTTAGGTATCTTGATGTCATTTGTGACAACTGTCAAACTTTCCGTTTCCGTTCCGCTTCCGCCCACATTGCGTTTTGGGATTGACAAATTTGATGTTTTAAAATTATGCTAAGAAATATACCATGATCTTAAAACTCCAAGTATTTGGAATCAACCTTATTCCACACACTGGATCCCTAACCAAAGGTTTACAACTTTCTTTTACGCTGCTTTAAATCCAATCGGCCATCGGGTTTCACAAAAAGTGTCAAATACCCTAAGATCTGGGTATTTTCGGAACGGAGACCACGCGTAGATGCTAAAAATCGATATATGATCCCATTTGTAGGCTATTTGACACTTCTTTTGAAATTGGAAGCTACCATCTTGAATTTCAAGATGGCGTCGCACATCTATTTCTGGCTTCTAGATGTCAGCTCGATTCGAGAAAACCCACATTGATCGATATTGGACAGTATTACACAGTTTTTCTGAACCAAAGCCGCCATTTAAAGACGGCGTAACATCAAATTTCGGCGTCGGATATCGATTTCCGGCTTCTAGATGTTACCCTGATTCTAAAAAAATCCGGTTGTATTGGTATTTAATAGAATTTACAACTTTTCTCAAACCGGAAGCCGCCATCATGATTTTCAAAATGGCGTCGGAACGTATTCCAAAATTACGTTTATTGATGGGTATTTGACAATATTTCCCGCTTGTTCTGAAATCGGAAGCCGCCATCTTGGATATAGAATTGGCGCCGAATATCAATTTTCAATCTGTAGACTTCATACCGATTGCAAAAATACCAATATTGATGTGTTTTGACTGTATTTCCACTTTTTCGTAAATCGGAAGCTGCCATCTTCGATTTCAAAATGGCGTTGGACGATTTTCACCCTCTAGACATCATCCCGATTCGAACAATACCTTTATTGATACGTATTTGACAGCATTTCCCACTTTTTCTTAAACAGGAAGCCGTCATCTTGGATTTTAAAATGACGTCGCATATAAATTTTCGATCGCTAGGCGTCACCCCGATTAAAAACATACTCATATTGATGGGTGAAAAAACCACCCAACAATGATAAATTTTACGTCACGTGCACAGATCTATGCGCACACGCTTGAAAGAACCGAGTGAACAATCAACAAAAGTCATAAAAACTGAGCGAATTTGGTTCGAACAGCTTCGCTTCAATGCAAAAGTAAGTTCATTTGACAATGAAAGAAGAAATGATCACGAGTCAAGCCAAAACAAACAGCATGAAAACCGATTGAAAGTGGTTATGTTGATGTTGACGGGGATCTGCTCTAAAGCTGGGTTTAAACAGGGAAAGTCAATTGATCAAGTCAGTTGAATTCAACTGACTTGAACGCGAATTGAACGTGTAAACCATGCCATTCAACTGACTTGATCAACTCACTTGAATTGAAAAAAGTTGAACCAGGCTCAACTTTGCAAGCCAATTGAATTCAACTGAGTTGATCATTTGACTTGCCTAGTCTAAACCCAGCATAAGAGAAGACAGAATGACTTTCAATTGAAAGTGATGGTTGACAGCTTCATCGTCACTTGACGATTTTCGATTGAAAGTGACTTTGTGGGGCCCTGATTCCTCCAGTATTTATGAAAAGTCTAGCAATGGAATTGTTTTGGCTATTTAATATGTCACTGGAATCCGCAACCTTCCCGAAAATTAGGAAAATCTCATTCCTAGTTCTATCTTTAAATCTGACCGAAAATTTGACGTAAGTCATTATCGTGGGATATCCATCTCTTGCATTCCTAATCTTTTTGAGGCAATTATCAACGAAAAATTATTTCTCCAAATCAAAAATACAATAACTGACATGGCTTTTTCAAGGGTCTTTCGGCCTCGACAAATTCACTTGAATTTATAGACTATTCATTGAATGCCACAGATAATGGAAACCACGTAGAAGCCCTCTGTACAGACTTAAGCAAGGCATTTAACCGCATTGACATTCCAATGCTACTCTTTAAATTAAAAAAAAATGAATCGAGGGCTCCTGAAATGACTTGAATCATATTTAACTAACCGCCAACAAATAATTAAATTCAACGGACAGAAACTGAGCCCAATTCAAGTCATTTCAGGCATCTTCCAATGCTCTCATTTCGGACCTCTTATTTTGATTCTATACGTAAACGACATTTTTCACACTCAAAAACCTAAAATTGCTAATCTATGCCGATGACATGAAGCTCTTTTTGGAAATAAGAAATGAAGAAGGCATCAATATATTCCGGAATGAAATAACATATTCTACATATGGTGTAAAAAAGAGACCGAGAAAAATGAGACTGCGTTAGCGATTTAGAAATTATCTTAGACTCCAAACTAACTAACATGAAATTGTTAGAGCAGCTGGCAGCAAAAGATTCGAAACAAACCAATACTGCATATGCGTGCGTTTCTTAGAAAAAAAAAGGCTATAGAAAGATGGTCGTTGCTTAGGTTGCCGAGAATACGTAAATTCCCCTTGATAGAACGAAGAATCTGCTCCTGAAAATCACAAATTATAATGATTCATATCGTTCTCAACATTTCAACAGGTCCACGGTGCCAAGGCACGTGCCCGAGCTGCTCGGGAGCGCCAGCGGTCCGCATCCTGTCCACCGAGCGAAAGCGCCACACTCCTCTCGCTGGAAACCGCCCCCGGCATTATCCGTCCTCTGTCGCGCCGTTTCTGTGCCTTCTTCGCCGAGGCCACCATCTTCCTGTTTCACAACATGCTCGGCTACGCGCTGATGCTCACGGTGATGATCTACAACGGGTACCTGTTCGTGGCCGTGGTCGGCGGAATGGCACTGGGCTACTTCTTCTTCGGGCACCTCTCGATGAAGGTCAACATGGAGAACTTCCAGGCCCGGCAAACGAACGTAATTTGCACGGCCCGCTGCATGCAGACAGGTAAGCTTGAATTTTTCCAAAGACATCATATCAAGAAGACTGGCAACTTTGCCAGAATACAAGCGACAGATACAGTAGCGCTGCGCTTGAGCGAAGGTGGAAGCAACGTATAGAAAAATGAGCAAATACACAAACCTTTCTTCTGAGGATGTAATCTTTGCTATCAAATTCGTTCGAAGCATTTACCTTTGAGCGGCAGATGACGCGATTGTACCTGTCTCATAGCGTTCGTATGAGAGTATGGAAGAGTTGCCAGTCTGCTTGATATGTTGTCTTCGGTTTGTCCCACTAGATCATTAACCGTTTTGTGAACATTTCAACTAATGTGTTCCAAATTTGTCATTCGATCGTCCTTTTCTCTGTACATTCTAGCCGAGACCTGTGCCATGAGTCACTTGGCATCCTGTCCTTCCTCTGTATGTGATGATCGCTTTTGAGTTTCTTTAATTTTCATTTCTATTCATTTACTAATGATTTTGTTCACCATAATTTTCTAGCGTCCCCACCTGAATCGCACCAATTACCAAACTCTCTGCTCCTGAATCGTGTAGATTCGTCCCCCTTCGTAGTGTAGTGTTTATTTGATTTCTTTCAGTTACCCTTTTGTATCGTTTGATTTCTCGTGCAATTTTTGTTTATCGACTTTCCGTTTCTTCCGAAAACGCACCTATAGATTCAGTGAACCCGTCGTCCTCGTCCAGTCTGGAACATCACCATCACCAACTTCTGCGAACGAACGAGCTCAACGTTGACGGGACGGCACCATCGACTTCGGTCGAAATCCATTCGTGCCATTAAAGCGGATAAAAAAAAAACAACTAAAAGCACAAACCGTATTGAGAGTAGCAAGATATTACGTAATCTCAGCCATTTTGTTGCTAGGTAGAAAACAAACAAGTCACGAAACCAAACTACAACCACGGGGATCACTCAAGCTGGGGTATTAAGGGTATTTAGCCATTCAAAAATACAGACATTTTTTTTAGGATTAGACTGTGATCTAAATCGTTGCGGGATGCCAAAACAAGTCGCCGTACCTTGATGCTACAAATTCTAAGAAATTGCATACAAGAACAAGATTAGATTGTCCATACGAATAAGGGTGTAATGTGAAGCCAATCAAAGTAGTCATTTGTTTTCGTTTCCAACCTACACATTTTAGAATGTAAGTCTCAGTCTACTAGATCGATTTCGTCTGGTGCATGGTGATTGTTAAGTAAAATTTACGTGCTGGAAAATTTCTCTGTATTTTAATCGAAACAACAGGTTCTTCCATCGATTTCTTTTAAGTATTGTTATTTTAGCTATGATTTTCAGTGCTGTGTGTGATAATAATTTCCAATGAATTTACGTCCATTTCGTTTAGGTTACAGGAAGAAATGTAAAACAAATACACTGATCGAAATAGCTTCTTTGGAGTCGAAAAGTATTCTGCCAAAAATGAAAATCCTAATTTTTCAAATCATGTCCTAGGCTATTGCTATACAATTCGTTACAAATAAATATATGGGAAGTATGAAACCAAATCGATGGATTTTCTTCTACGGATGAGATATCACACCTGAAGTGTTGAGGAAGACTAAGGAAACAGTTTCATCATAGCACGTTGTAGAACGTTCACACATTTATCTTGTTGAAAGCAGGGATAAACACGCCTGGTTTAAGGGCTATGTATAGAGGACAGTCAGTAAAGCCTCGTGAATGGTGCGGATAACGCGAAAGATTTTTAGAAAGCGCTTCGTGATTATCATGAGAAGGTGGCAGTCACCTCTCGAGTGAGTCTTCTCCGGAAGCTGTGTAATTTGAATCTTCTCGATGGCGGAAACATGGAAGCCCACTTGTTCGAAGTTGAGGAGGAGATTACACGGGTGTACGAAGAGCTGAAGCATCACTTCAAGGTGAACTGGCTAGGTGATCCAAACTTCTTTTTGGAATTGGAGATTCGCAGAGATGCAGATGGAGTGTTCAGCTTGGGAGTACAGCAGTACATTCAGAAGTTGATTCGGACTCTAGGACTTAAAAATGCAAAATCTTCGCGGACTCCAATGGATACCGGTTACCTTAAGCTGGAGGAGAAAGGCGAAGAATTCACCAACAATACGAAACGTCGTAGCGTTGTAGGAGCTCTCATGTACACCTGATATCGCGACAAGTACTTCCATCTTGGGACGAAGCTTCGAAACCCCGAAGGATGGCGACTGGACTGCGGCCAAGCGCGTTGTCCGCTACTTAAAAGGGACAGCGGACTGGCGTTTACGACTTGGGGGAGAGACGGCTTGCAAGTTGAAGTGTTTTCCGACTCAGACTGCGCCGGTGATCCTAGGAACAGGAAGTCCATGACTGGATACGTGTTGTTCTTTGGAGGAGGAGCTGTGCCATGGACAAGCCGACGACAAGACTGTGTTAGCCTATCATTGATGGAGGCTGAGTACGTCGCCCTTGGTGAGGCGTGCCAAGAGGTGGTGTAGACAAGGCGGCTACTCCAGGATTTAGGCGAAAAGCAGACAGACCCTACCCACACGAATTGCCGGCGAAAAAGTGACGTCATTTGACATTGAGCGACTTGAAGACTGATCGTTCGCCCTTTGTCCGGGATGCGGACGAAGGGCGACTCGCCCCGCTAGAGTAATTTCATCCGCCGGGCGACCAAATGGCGCTCCGGGATGCGGACGAAGGGCGACTCGCCCCGCTAGAGTAATTTCATCCGCCGGGCGACCAAATGGCGGATGGAACTTAGCAATTTTTTTGTGATTTTTTTCGCGGCGACTGATTACGTGGTCAGTCGTTTTTTCATATCGTGCGTGTATAGACGCGTTTATCCGCGTCGTGAAATTTGCCTCCGATGGCAAAGTTGATGGTAAGTACTGAACAGTTTGATATTAAGTGTAATTAGGTATTATTAAAAATTGATTCGCTGGAGGAATCCGGCTGAGTTAAACATTCTTACTGATGCAACGCATCAATAAGGATGTTTAATTCATCCGGATTCGTCCGGCGGATCAATTTTGATGTAATTTATTGTTTTCCAAAATTGATCCGCTGGAGGAATCCGGCTGAGTTGAGCATCCTTATTGATGCGTTGCATCAGTTAGGATGCATAACTCAGCCGGATTCCTCCAGCGGATCAATTTTGGAAATTAATTACAAATTGAAATTAATTACAAATTGACAGATGAAAAAAATTGATGATTTTTTAAAAAACTTTTTTTCAGCCGGCTGCTTCCACTGATCCGCTGGAGGAATCCTTACCGATGCAACGCATGCCGATGCCGGATCCCGATGTTTATGTTTAAGGTAAACTTAAGTTAAATTTTTATTAAAATTAAGTAAAAGTTAAAGGTATTTCAATGTTCAGTTAAATTAAGTAAGTTACAACTAAATTTAAGTTAAAATTATGTTGAAGTTAAGTTAAAGTTCGGCTAATTAAGTTAGAGTTATGTTAATTTTATGCTACAATTATGTTAAAGTAAAGTTAAAGTTATGTTCATGTTATGTTAAAGTTAAAGTTATGTTAATGGTAAGATAAACATTTGTTAAAACAAAAGTTAAAATTTAGTTAATGTTACGTTAAAATAAAGCTAGAGTTAAGTTAAGGTTATGTTAAAGTTAAGTTAAAGGTAAGTTACAGTTATGTTTATGTTAAGATAAAGTTAAGTTAATTTATGTTTAAGATAAAGTTAAGTTGAAGTTAAGTTAAAGTTAAGTTAAAATTGAGTTAAAGTTAAGTTAAAGTTAAGTTAAAGTTAAGTTAAACTTAAGTTAAGTTAAAGTTGAGTTAAAGTTGAGTTAAATTAAGTTAAAATTAAGTTAAAGTTAAGTTAAAGTTAAGTTAAAATGAAGGTAAAGTTAAGTTAAAGTTAAGTTAAAGTTAAGTTAAAGTTGAGTTAAAGTTGAATTAAATTAAGTTAAAATTAAGTTAAAGTTAAGTTAAAGTTCAGTTAAAGTTAAGTTAAAGTTAAGTTAAAGTTAAGTTAAAGTTCAGTTAAAGTTAAGCTAAAGTTCAGTTAAAGTTAAGTTAAAGTTAAGTTAAAGTTAAGTTAAAGTTCAGTTAAAGTTAAGTTAAAGTTAAGTTAAAGTTAAGTTAAAGTTAAGTTAAGTTAAGTTAAAGTTGAGTTAAAGTTGAGTTAAATTAAGTTAAAATTAAGTTAAAGTTACGTTAAAGTTAAGTTAAAATGAAGGTAAAGTTAAGTTAAAGTTAAGTTAAACTTAAGTTAAAGTTGAGTTAATGTTGAATTAAATTAAGTTAAAATTAAGTTAAAGTTAAGTTAAAGTTCAGTTAAAGTTAAGTTAAAGTTAAGTTAAAGTTAAGTTAAAGTTAAGTTAAAGTTAAGTTAAAGTTAAGTTAAACTTAAGTTAAAGTTGAGTTAAAGTTGAATTAAATTAAGTTAAAATTAAGTTAAAGTTAAGTTAAAGTTAAGTTAAAGTTAAGTTAAAGTTAAGTTAAAGTTAAGTTAAAGTTAAGTTAAAGTTAAGTTAAAGTTAAGTTAAAGTTCAGTTAATGTTAAGTTAAAGTTAAGATAAAGTTAAGTTAAAGTTAAGTTAAAGTTAAGTTTAAGTTGAGTTAAAGTTAATTTAAATTTAAGTTAAAGTTAAGTTAAAGTTAAGTTAAAGTTTAGTTTAAATTAAGTTAAAGTTAAGTTAAAGTTAAGTTAAAATTTAAGTTAAAGTTGAGTTAAAGTTGAGTTAAGTTAAGTTAAGTTAAAGTTAAGTTAAAGTTAAGTTAAAGTTAAGTTAAATTTAAGTTAAGTTAAGTTAACGTTATGTTAAAGTTAAAGTTAATGCTTAAGTTAAGTTAAAGTTCAGTTAATTTAAGGATAAATTTATGTTAAATTTAAGTTAAAATTACGTTTAGTTAAAGTTAAGTTAAAGTTATGTTAAGTTAATGTTCGGTTTGAGTTAAAGTTATGTTAATGTTAAAGTTATGTTAAATTCAAGTTAAAATTTAAGGTTAAGTTAATGTTAGGTTAAAGTTATGTTAAAATTTAAGTTATGTTAAATTTAAGTCAAAATAAAGTTAAGGTTATGTTAAAGTTTATTTAAAGTTAAGTTAAAGTTTAGTTAAAGTTAAGTTAAGTTTAAGTTAAGTTTAAGTTAAATTTAAGTTAAGTTTACGTTAAGTTTATGTTAAGTTTAAGTTAAGTTTAAGTTAAGTTTAAGTTAAGTTTAGGTTATCTTAACGTTATGTTAAAGTTAAAGTTAATGCTTAAGTTAATGTTAGGATAAAGTTATGTTAAATGTAAGTTAAAATTACGTTAAGGTTTTGTTTAAGTTAAAGATATGTTAAGTTAATGTTCGGTTAAAGATAAAGTTATGTTAATGTTAAAGTTATGTTAAATTTAAGTTAATATTTAAAGTTAATTTTAGTTTAAAGTTATGTTAAAAATTAAGTAATGTTAAAATTTAAGTTAAAGTTAAGTTAAAGTTAAGGTTAAGTTAAGTTAAAATTAAGTTAAAGTTAAGTTAAATTTCAGTTAAAGTTAAGTTGAAGTTAAGTTAAAGTTAAGTTAAAATTGAGTTAAAGTTAAGTTAAAGTTAAGTTAAAGTTAAGTTAAAGTTAAGTTAAACTTAAGTTAAGTTAAAGTTGAGTTAAAGTTGAGTTAAATTAAGTTAAAATTAAGTTAAAGTTAAGTTAAAGTTAAGTTAAAATGAAGGTAAAGTTAAGTTAAAGTTAAGTTAAAGTTAAGTTAAAGTTGAGTTAAAGTTGAATTAAATTAAGTTAAAATTAAGTTAAAGTTAAGTTAAAGTTCAGTTAAAGTTAAGTTAAAGTTAAGTTAAAGTTAAGTTAAAGTTCAGTTAAAGTTAAGCTAAAGTTCAGTTAAAGTTAAGTTAAAGTTAAGTTAAAGTTAAGT